GATTTCTTTCTGCTTGCTGATGATACTTTTATTAATGGTTTTCAAAATGACAGAATATTGGAGATGAAGATATCATGGTAACACAGAAGAAGACAGAGGAGAGTGAAATACTGTTTTCATACCAATGTTTGCAATGGGAAATTCATGTACTTGTACCAGAGGGCCTAATTCTCCCCCAGTGTACGCTATATTACAGCCCCACTGACCTGTGGTGGAGCAGCCTTCATTTGCACCAGAGAGGTGAGGCTGAGATGTTTTTCACTGGGCCTTTTACTCTATAGAATAAACGGGTAAGCAGCTAACTGTGTAAAGCCATTGCCTCCTTTCTACATACATGGGCTTTAAAACATAAAGAAAAATGGTTTCTGTTATATTCTTGTGAGTGTGAGACAGCCAAAAATAACAACAAACTTCTGATTAGTGTCTGAGCCTCATAATCACCAGGGTAGATAAAGTATATCTGTGTTTCATTACCATGCTGATGTGGAAACAGTGAAACATGGAATATTTCGTTATTTTGTTCATCTTGTGAATTGCACTTTCTTGTTTAACATAGTAGGCACAAGGGGGTATGTCAGTATGTAGCAAAGCTGTAATAATAATATTTTTTTAATAGTAACAAAGCTGTTCAGGGCTTATTTGCTGACCTGTGAGTTTGCTGGGCTGCAGGCCTTTAGGGCTGCCCATCAAACCCCAAAGCAGCACTTTCTCATAATAAGAAGTAAGGGCACGTGTTCAGACTTTGGACATTGAAGACAGTGTAGCAGCACTGGTGTAAGGACTTCTGCAGCTGTGTGAGGGTTACACAGCAGAAGGGAGGCTGCCACAGGAGCCCACAACATACTGTAACCTCCGTATGCTGATAAGTAGGTACAGCTACATCTACCTGAGCCCTCCTCATTCCCCTTTTTTGAATACAAGCCACATGCGTGACTCAAGGCTGTATATCTCAACAGCCACAACCTAGCTTCTGCTGATACCAGGGTGTGACCATTCCCCATACATTAAGGAAATCAGTAGTTTAGATTTTTTTCCATCTGAGATAAACATGTCCCATGTGCAGCACAACCTGACCTGAAAATGGGACCGAGCAAGTCCCAGAATGCTCTTTTTATGTTTTGTACAAACATGGAAATAATCTCTCAGGTATGGATTATTTCATTAAATTCCTTTCAGCAGCAACTGGAGAAGGTTGTTTCTCTTGGGTGAAAAAGCTGGGAAAAAAGATTCTCCACGTGCTCCTAGTTATTTTCAGTGTGATGCAAGTACAGCTTTCTTTTACTTAAAGCAACTGCTGTGCAAGCTATTCTGAAGTACCCTTCTGTAGGGTAGTATTTGTTTCGTGGAGAAGCTATCAACTTGCTACAGTAGATGCTTTATTATTTTACTATTGTCTTTTGGATGCTTGTTGGTAGGCTTTTGAGTTGAGCCTTAATGTCACAGAAATGTTTCCTGGAAGGGAACCTTGGAAGCTGCCTACTCCATCCCCCTGCACTAAAGCAAGATGAGCTCTTGCTTATTCCAGAGCTTGCGAACTGTTGTGAAAAATTATTTGCTTCGTTCACATTGCAAATCTGAATGGTAACCAAGGTCAGCAGTGTTCCTCCTGAGATTCAGAGGGTGTATGTTGTACAAGGTGCTTGCTTTCAGATACTCATTTTGCTTTGCTTGTTTTGTTGCAATGCTGTAGACGCAGTTGAATTCCACATAAGCAAGCTTGTGTGTGGAGCCATTTGGTTGTTGGATGTGGATATTTGTAATGTCATCAATAAATGCTGGTGCATAAATATTTTTCAATAGCAAAAGAAGTTGATTTTTCTTCTTTTTAGGCAGGTTTTATGTCTGAGTTGCTCTGACTTGGCCTCACTACACTGAACCCCCTGTGCTCTTCCACTTTCTACAACTCATCACTTCTATGCACAAAATACTGGTTCGGGCTGTGGGACAGTATAAGCTAAGCTGACCTACAGCCCACAGAATGTGTTTCAGCAGTGGATATTTCATGGTTTCCCACTGAGGTGTCACAAACCATGTAGGAGAAATGTTTTTTTTTCTTTTATTCATTTTCTGAGATTTTTTTTTTTTGCTTAGGAAATGCTGCCTCTCTTACTTTCAGCAATCTGTTCCCTTGGCAAGAAATACGACTGTCAGGTGTTTAAAATTAAAGTTGTTAAAATCAAATTTGCAAAGGCAGGAGGGTTTGCCCCAGTGTCCTGGACATAGTCCAACTTTAGTAATTATGTCTCGCCTAACTATATCCTTCTTGCAGTTTCATGACATTCTTCCTGTCCCACTGAAATCTGCAACAGAGAGCTGCTGTGACATGACATGTTAAACATCTGCCCTGTTTTTACCCAGAAGTGGCCGCGCTTCACTAGGAGATGAAGTGATTTATAATATGTGGCATGCATACACGCATACTTCTACTGAACTGGAGGAGTTACTTAGGGAGCAGCACTTCGGAAAAAGCTTCAGCTCAGGAAATAAATATACA